AACGGGGTATTGCCAACTTAAAAAATAATTCATTCCAAGTTTGCACTTTCTTCTATGTATTCCATATCTTCTGCCTTCAAGCTGCCTAAATCTTCTTTGAAAAATATTCTCCTATCACAACCACCGGTAGTAGTAACTCTCAAAAATCTATTTTCCTTCCCCAGCTATTAGATTATTCTCAAATTCTGACCCTTGAGATTTCCAGGTATATATTCCTTTCAAAATGTATTGCTGGATAACTGAACCACATTCTGTTAACCACCATTTGAAGAGAGGTAGTGATGGGTGAAATTAAGAATTCCCTTTGGAACTGTACATTTTTTCCATAGCATTAAATCCTGCTCATTGTGCTCAAGAAACGAAGCATCTCTCTCTCTCTTCCCCCGGATCCATTCACCTTCCTGCTTTCTCTCCCAGTGAGCATGTAATAAGAGGGAAAATTCTATCAAGTGTCAATGCGAAGCTTATGTGCTGGGTTGCAGATCATTTTCCTCAAGTGGACATTCCTGCCCCTGGCTGCTCTTGGCCTGTAGTGTGGCAATCAGTTTCCTTGTCCCCCAAGGGGGCCGGTCGCCGCCTCGCCCTTTGTGTCACTGTGGGCAAGTAAGTCATACACTCTGCGCTTCGGCTTCCTCATCAATGAAATGAGGTGGCTAAACTTCACAGATGGTTCTTCTAGAATCTGGACACTATAAAATCTTGATACCCTCTGTTAGCATCTTAGAACCTCAACAGTTAAAAAGCTAGAAGAAAAACAAGTGCCATTATTGCAAAGAATCTGTAGTTTATGGATGTCTTCCTGCCTCTGCCTTTTGCCTTATATGAAGATTGTGCTAGGCCTCAGTTGTCATTTCCTAAATACATGATATGTGCTTGCTTTATTTCTGTAGCTGAGTTGATTTTATTGGCTTCTCTCAGTGTCACAGAGAATGCTTATTTAATCGGGTACACTTCTTTTTATCCTCTCAAGGCTAGTGTAATCTAATGAACAAAGGTAATTTATTGTGAACATCTAACACATAAAATTTAATAGCATTTGTGCCAAATGAATACCAGAAAAAAATTGAAATGTGTAGTATTTTAAAAACATACTGACATGAGTTATGTTTAACCAGGAAGCACCAATAAAAATAGAATAAACAATTATTAGTAGCATTCATTGATTTAGAATATTCCATTATGGAAAGAGAAAACTGTGCTATTACCTTTTGTGCCTCCACTAGCTACTTACGCATTTAGAACTGTGTGTTCTAGAAGTTTTTGCAGTGGTGAGATAACATATGATAGAATATGTAGAATCTTACTCCTGAAAAAAGTCACATTTTTAATGACTCTGATTAGAACATAATGGAAAATGAACTGGAATAAACTGTATAACCATGTACCATGGAATTATGATTTTTAATGGAAAATTTAGTATGAAAGCGAGGATTTTGAAAGGAGATCCTTTATATAATTTTGCTGCTATTTTTGAAACTTTGAAAATAGAAAAAGAATAAAGAGAAAATGTAATTAAAAAAGACTTTTTCAGTTCATGGCTCTTGGCAACATAGAAAGTTTTGTCATCTTTGACTTCATTCTGACATAAAACCCTCATAAAATGCGGCATATACTGTGTTAGTGATCAGAACCGTTTTTGAACAGTATTAATCTTCTGCTGGAAAAATGGCTTCTTACACAACATCTCTAGGAAGTAAGATTAAACACAGACCTCTAATGGCAGAAAAGCTAGATCACAAGTATAGACGGCACTAATAGTCTGACTTTATGATGCAGAGCTTCATCTTGAGAAAATCGAGTCTTTTTTTAGTGAAAGTGTATTTTATAATAGCCTTAGAAGAAGAGCTCTACCAGTGGATGGGATGAGTCCAAAATGTCCTCTGTTAGCTCATGAACTCTAGTAAGGCCCTCTGATTCTTGTCTCTTATTTCCCTGTCACTGTGAAGACTGAGGGAAGGTTATGGGAAGGTCATTATTATTCTATTTCCTTCTCACACCTCCTCTTTGAGGTCCAGTATCTCCAGGTCCTAGAGGAGGGATGTAAGCTGCGGTGAGGTTCAGTGGTGGGTATATGGTGGGGCTGGAGACGCAGGACCTGGTTGGAGATGCCCAGCCCGAGTTGCCTGCAGGACTCCACACTCTGTCCTGGCTAGTAGCTCACAGAAATGATGTCACCATGGCTACATGAAATAAGATTTTGTGTATGAACTTCATTTCCATTAAACATCCTCATTTGTTCATATTCCTCTTGAATGCATCTTTATTGTTGTTGACAACATTTGGATCCTGCTTTATCAGGACTTCTGCATAAACATTTTCACTGGTATTACACTGAGTTGAGGCAGTCTGTTACCTGGCTTCATTTTTTTTTTTTCAATCTCACATTTTATTATGGTTTTATCCAAATTTATTATTAGGTTTTATTATTTATTTATATATTTATATTGATATATTTTATTATTTATTTATATACTTACTATTATTTATTATTAGGTTTTATCCAAATCAGTCTATTTGGCTAATAGAGTGATCATCTGATTTCTACTGTGTGTGTGTGTGTGTGTGTGTATGGTTTTTTTTGTTTGTTTTTTATTTTTTGTTTGTTTTTAATCCTGTTTTGTCTCTCAGAAAGCTTTGCTGCTTCGTATCCCTTTGCCCATATTCTGCTCAGTTCAGTTTCAGTGAAGGTGGCTGCCAGACATCCAAGTAGAGATGATGTTGAGAGTAGGCCCTTGGATATTCAATCTGGAATTCAGGAAACTGATGTGGGCTGGATTCTACTCTTGGAAATCATCCCTTCTTTTCATCCCAGTGGCTGCTGCTATAGATGAGGGCACCAGTTACTCTCCTTTGGATTGCTGTATTACTTTTGCCATTCTTTCACTTCACTTTGAAGAGCCTGAGTTTTTTCTAAAATGCAGTTCTTTTGATGTCTGTCACGTACTTGAACCTTGGTGGCTCTTTTCATTGCGTGGAGGATAAAATCCAGATTTCTTAACCTTGCTTAAAAGGTTTTGCACGATACGGTAACTGCTTGATATGGTACCTGGTTTTGCATGATATGGTACCTATGGTAGTTTCTCATGTCCTTTACTTCCACACAATATTCTCTGCCCTTATTGTTCTCACTTCTTTCTGTGCCTTTCAAGTTCTTGCAGCTTGAGACCTTCAGACACTATCCTTTCATTGCCTGATACTTCCTCCTACCACCCCAAAACCTTCTCTTACGCCTAACTCCTTTTCTCTCTCAAGCTTTTGATTAGGCATCATTTATTATATGAAGACCGTCACGGTAAGTATGGGTTATGAGGTTCTTTATTCCAGTGTGGTTCTTATCAAAACATTGCAGACTTATCTAGGTATTGTAGTTGACATTTGCTTCTCATTCACCACTTTTGGTCTCTAGATTCTGTGAGGCCAAGATATCTCTATTTTGTTTAACATTATATCTACATTGCATAGCACAGTCCCTTTTAATTGGTGCTTAATATTCATTTGAATGAAAGAATAAGTAAAGTTGCTGATTATAAAACATTAATGTAAAATTCAACAAAGTTTCTATATTCCAGGAGTAACTAGTTATGAAGTACAGTGAGAAAGGTAGAATTAACCAATCTCTCTGTCTCCCATCTGAATATTTAAGAGTATATAATTTAGATATATTCAGGACCCCTAACACAAACAATGAATGTACAGGTTGCTGACAAAGAACACTGTGCTGAGTTGAATAATTATAAACACATGTCATGTTGATGACTGGGAATTTTGAAAATTGTCAACATATCAAATCTCCTTGAATCTATTTACAAATGCCTCATGAGTCAAATACAATTCAAATGAATTTTATTTCTGGAACTCTTGAGTTGCTCTAATGGTCATGTGGAAAAATAAATGAGAAAAGGGAAGAAAATTTAAAAACGGAAAAAAAATAATTTGAACATTCAATTAAGATATAGTACTTCAAACAGCGATACAGAATTATAAGCTCAGAAAAACAAGTATAGGATAAAAGTGTAATATGAAATCAGTTGAGAAAGATGACTAATAAAATAATTACTTAATAAATATTTTGAAAAATATAAAAGTTGATCCCTGTCTCACACTGTGTACCAAAACATGCAATTATAATAGTCTTTTTTGATATAATGTAGTGATAATGTGCCATCTTATATATATGAAGATGCTTTTGGAAGCTCTTTTCCCTGGTATTTGTGATTTATTTGGACATACCTAAAACACTTCAGTCCATTATTTTTTGTTATCAAGATTCTAATTTTGCGAGATGACTAGCTTTGACCCAGAAGTGGTATCCGTGGATACAAAGGAGAGGGAAGATGATAGGATCGCTATTGGTTCCAGCTCTTAACCTTGACTGTCCTGTACCTTGCTGTAAGGACAGGTCTCAGATTGATGTTTAGCATGATACATTTATTCTCTGGCTTTTTACTAAGGATAGGGAGGTCAGATGCATTTTTTGCTTCTGAAGTCCTCATATAAATAAGCTAAATGTCAAATTTTGACTGTTTTCAAAGATTTGGAAAACAAATTATAAACCACCTACTCTTCCAGTTTAGTAGAGGCTATGTTTTTAAGTAAGTGTGATCTCTCAGACATAAAATAACTGTGTGATTGCTTAGCACTCTTAGAGCTAACTTCTTAACCTACCTTAAGTATAAGTATACTCATTTTTATAATCGTTTCCTGTATATGGTTCAAATAAGCTAAGTAAGTATACTCATTCTTGTACCCAGTGGCATTGGTTTCCAATAAAGCATATCAGTTCTGTTTTTGCTGTTAGACCTTCCGGTATCTACTCTAAGGTTTTGTAGCATAAGAACGATCAGTGCCTATCTGAAACAGTCTAGGTCTTGGGGTGTTATTTTTCTAACAATGTTATTTAAAAGAATTCTATCTTTTTTTTTTTTTTTAAATAATAGTTCACAACCTGTCCTTTTGCTACTGAATGCCTTACTGACATGGATCTATCCTTGGTTTTACAGAGAGAAGAGAAGAGGAAGATTTTGAAGAGAAGAAAGCTATCAAGAAAAAAATTAAGGAGCTTAAATTTTTAGACTCTAAAATTGCCCAGAACCTTTGTACGTATGAAACTTCAGTACTATTACAATAGCAAAACACTGGAAGTAGTTCCTGTAAATTATTTCATTTTCTTTATGACTTCTTTTTCATTTCGTTATTTTAATATTTTATTATTTGCATAATAACTTCAAAGATAATTCCTTTCCTTTAGGATATTTATGGGTTAAATTCCTCAAAAAATTAATATGCATTAGAAAATAAAGCTAAGAAAAGTATTTAGAATAAAAATATATCTTCTATAACTAAAATCTATATATTTTAGATATATTCTAAAATCTATCTTCTATATACTTTGTCTAAGTATATAAATAACAAGTTAAGAAATTTAGGTGATGACATAACATTTTAAAAAGTGGTAGCAGATTTTTTCTTTTATACCTTCGAATCTCTATTATTTTTGATACTTGATCACACACAAAAGAGGTTGGAATATTAATGGAAATTAGGATGATGAATAAAATGAATTCCATTATCCCATCTGAGCAGTTCAAAGCCTTTCCTCAAAAGTAATGACTGGAAATATTTTAGATTTAATTACTGTTACAGGAGCTAAATACTTAGTATTGAATTGTCTCCCTGACTGAATTACTATGGGAGGAGAGGGCAAAGAGTTTTGCTTCTAACTCATTTCTAACCGTAACTTAAATGCATCAAAGATAGTTTGCTTGGAACTGAGATAATACCCTATGTATATATTATTTTCTGATGTTGTGAGAGGAATACAATGTGCAGAATCTAGAGGCATGGAAAGTTAACATGGCTTTTAGTCTGCCTTTCAATTATTACATGCCTCAAGAGAGCTTTTAACAAGCATTGGGAACAAAAATTCTTTGGTGTGAGGCTAAAGATCCATGCTATCGATTAAAGAAGGAATTTTGTTGGAGGCAGTAAGCATAAAAGACAGAGTTGGCATTCCTTCTGTGAAAGTTTTGAGATCTCCTTCCTTTTCTGCTTACCATGACAGGGCCACCCCTTTCCTGCATTGTGGGTGTGCCAAGATACTACTCGGTTTCTGGGCACAAATTGATTGCACATCCCTACACTCTTGAAGGTCGATGTCACCATGTGACTTGCTTGGGTCAATGACAGTGTAAGTGGAGATGAGGTAGCTTTTGTGTGGAAGCATTTATTGCTGATGTGAGAAACTCCAGTGTTCTTTCTCCTACACCCCAGAATGGCAGTCAAAATGGTATCCATCACCCTGATGTGAAGATTGTGTCAGGAATCTTTCTGATGTGTAATGGACATGTAGTCTGAATTAGAAATGATTTGTGTATGTATGTGTATATGTGCGCATGCTTAGACTCCTGAGATTTTGGGGACTGTTACATAATACAGGTATTTCAGGGAATTTTCCCCTTTAAAGGAACATTGACTTCAAAGCATTATTAACTTAGATAATCTCAAAAAGTTCTATTCTCTGGGATCGGAAAGAGATTTTTTCCTGAAAAGTGTCCATGACTTGGGTTACTGATTCCTAGGTTGAACTGTAAATAACGTTAGGGATCCTGAAGAAATACCATTTTATTTATTTATTTACCTGCAAATCTATTTATTCATTTGAGAGAGGGAAAGAGAATGCTTGGGCAGGGGGAGGGGCAGAGGGAGAGAGACAAGCAGACTCCTGTGGAGCAGAGAGCCCTATACCCTCAGATCATGACCTGAGCCAAAGTCATATCCTTAACCGACTAAGCCACCCAGGCACCCCAAGAAGTAGCATTTTTTTTTTTTTAAGATTTTATTTATTTATTTGAGAGAGAGGCAGTGAGAGAGAGCATGAGCAAGGAGAAGGTCAGAGGGAGAAGCAGACTCCCCATGGAGCTGGGAGTCCGATGCGGGACTCGATCCCGGGACTCCGGGATCATGACCTGAGCCGAAGGCAGTCGTCCAACCAACTGAGCCACCCAGGCGTCCCAAGAAGTAGCATTTTTAATAGAATTCTTTTCAGATGGGTCAGCCATGATAAGTAAGCACTGATATCCAACTCAAAGTTGCATAATTGACTTTGGTATTCTTTATATGTGACAGAACATGTGCTAAATGGGATTTCAAATTTAATAATGGCTAATGATTATTGATTACCTTTATGTGTTAGTTTTATATTTGGCCCTTTAATCTTTACTATAACCCTATCACAGAGGTAGGAAGATTGACGTTATGGGTGGGTATAGCAGTTCAGTGACTTGAATAAGGTGGTTTATTTTGAAAATGGTCAGTAGGTATAGGTTATACTATTCCCGTTTAGAGAAAACAAAATCATATTATACAGAGGATATTATTTTTGTTTTGTTTTATTTTAGCTAGAGAATATAGATCCATCCATTTTATTGTCAAACACATTTTAAAATTTAAGATTGAGAAGTCCAGAATTTAAACCATGTCATATTATGATGTAATCCATTTCTGGATTCTTCTTGCCCTCTTCGATTGTAGCAAGTGTTATGATTCAAGCTTTAAGAAGCTTTAACAACCTATAATTATAGTCTGATTCACAGCTGGTTTTTGTCTGTGAAATTCAGTCCTTTGAGATACTGAATTCTGAAAAGAGTCTTGTGATAGTGACAAGGCTCTATGTTGTCACTTGGAGATCTGAGATACTCTGTCTTAGATTTCTCTTCACTGAAATATTTGATAACATTTTGAAGAAAGGATCTAAAAATCTACTCCTTTATTTACGTATTTATTCAAATGTGTGTTAGGTTCTCCCTGTATTTGAGTTCATAAAGGGTTTGGCAAAACCCTGGGCTCAGCATAAAAGGTTGAATTGTAGCCACTCCAGGCTCAAGAGATGCCTTAGGAGTTTTACAAGGTTCATATGCTTTACCAGATTTTTGGAGTATTAGAGCTATAAAGGGAGGAACCCTGGAATCTATGCATTAATGTAAAGGTTTAAATATTTATAAGTTCCCTTGAAGAAAACATGTGTGACTGGTTCCAAATCTGCACACTTTACACTTCTTCACTGAACTCAGTTTCCCACTGGGATCTATATAATCACATTTTGAAGGATAAGATGCATGTTAGTAAAAATACTCACTTTAATGGGTCTTTTGGAGGCTTTAAATGAGTATCTCATATTCTCAGTAACTTTTAATTTGTTTTTTAAAGGTCTAGGCTTGTCTTCTGAATTTTGTGTTATACATTAGGCCATTTTCAACTCTTCTGTCTTTTTTTTTTTTTTACCTTAGAGCAAATGTTCCTAAAATCTTATTCATAAGTTATAAAAATGACATAGTTCAGTCTTTATAAATACAGACATGTTATTTATAACAATAACATGATGTATATGTTATTTTAACTATATAATAATCAATACCTGAAAGCAGTGGGTGAATTAGAAATATAGAAGAAAGACAAACAATAAATTATGTCCATTCCCAAAGTAAACTCTTCTATTAGCCTTTTATCTTATTTTGATATGTTACTGTTTTCATTATGCATGTTTTGTGTATATATATATATATATACACACACACACATATATACATATATATTTGCTGTATATATACATGTTGTATATATAATATATATATTATATATAAAAATAATATATATACATGTGTATATATATACATATGTATATATATACACATGTATATATATTATATATATATACTTCAAAAGTGTGTGAGCTCATATAAGGTTTTTTTCTGCATTTTTTTTTTTTTTTTTAAATCTCCAAGGCCATCTTTACTTTGGACACCAGTCACAAGTTTGGGGGTCCCCAAGACCACTCTTAAATATGATAATTTGTTAGAAGGACTCACAGAACTCAATGAAAGCTATTTGACTCGAGCTTAAATGATACAGATTAAAAGTCAGCTGAGGAAAGAGGTACATGGGGCAGAGTCCAGGAGAGTTTTGAGGGTCAAATTTTTAGCCCTGGACAGCTCTAGGTTCTCCCAGAAATGATGAATAATAATACCCACTAATTATTGCCAACCAGGAGGCTCACTTAAGCCTTGGCATCCAGCATTTTTACTAGGTCTTGGTTATGGGTGAACCCCTGCACGACTGACCTTAGTTTTCAGACCCTTGAGAGGTCAGGCTAATACTGTGACCCAAACCCTCCCATCATAAATCACATTATTAGCATAGTCTAGATAGGTATTTCCTGATTAAGATAAAAAAAAAATCCTTTTCAGGATGGAGGAGATAGATATTTCAAGGGCATTTTTCTCCACATTGCTTAAGTATATAAAAGTATGTATTTTTTTTCCTCTCAATAACTATGTTATGCTTCAGAGTAATTTTATTCTTTGATCTTTGTATTTAATGTTACAATCTTTTCTATATTTCTATGTTGTATCCATAGACTAGGTTTCTTGAGTGAAATTTATTGCTTCTCAAAGGGAATTAATAATTTCAAAGATTCTGCTTAATCTTACTAAATTTGCAATTCAGGTATATTTTAACAATTTACCTTTTCAGTTTGCTTATGTTAAGGTTTAACAAATTATTACTTTTCTTTTGTCTTTTTTTTCTTACTCTTTTAATAAAGGTTATGTATATTTTGCTCATTTTACTTTTTAGATCTCAGGGTATCCTAAATGAGGAAAAAACAAATGCTTTCAATCTTGAGGCGGGTTTATCCCCTCAACTTCCTTGCTTTTTAATTGTTTTGGTGCTTCAATGGGTTTCCCTTTTATGGTGTCAGATACCAATCTTTTCACATATTTTCCAACTTTTATGCTTTAGATGTTCTCTTACCATAAAGAAGCTAAATTGGCATGTTAAATTTCTTTTAATATTCACTTTTATTAATATTTGCATCTAATTCTACAGTCATATACAACTTGTTTTGTACATGATGTATAGATTTAGATTTTTCTCTACCCATCAATTACTTACTGATGATTTCTTTGAGATCATATAGTTAGCATATTTTTGTGCTTTTTTTAAGTGTCTACTACAGGGTTATCCTGTTAGAATTCCATTAATCTCTGTTGCAATAACATTTATACAATTTTGTTATCCCATTTTGTTGGGATATTAAGGGTTCTACCCATCCATAGTTTCTAGCACTGCTTTCCCATATTTATGACTATTTGCATTCAGAAATGTGTCAACAAAGCTGGTGATGAGAACACAGACGGTACCCTTGTTGCTTATCTGTAGATGATCCATGGTATCCTCAGGTATATGGAATACAGCCTTCACGAAAGAAGTAGACCATGTTTTCTCAGCCTTGCCAAACATGCTGTCTATGAAAATACCTACAGACAAAATGACATAAGTTCAGCATATAAAATAAATTAGTGGGCTAGGGGTAGCCCACTACTACTAATGTAAAGTTGAAATTCTTAGTAATTTTATCCAATCTATATTGGATATGTTACCCAATCTAATCCATTTGGATAGTTTTCCAGGAAAATTTGTTTTCCAATATTGGATATTCAAGCTTTAGTTACATGCAGAGGCTATATTTCTGGGATATTGTGTATAATATTTTGAAACAGGGAAGTGCTCTTATAACTTACAATAGTGTTAATGCACTACTTAGCTGTTAAACTATTTTTTTGTGAACTACTTAGTAGGGCTGGAAGATATTATACAAGCTAATAACATACGTGTTTAGACAAATATTACATGTGCATCTTGGAGTTTCATAGTTCTTTTTATTACAATGTGATATTTTTATGGCATACCAAATCTATTTCAGGATTTTTTTTTTAATCACATGAAAATTGGCACCATTCTGTGATAGGCTAATAACTAAGCATTAAAAATCAACCTTGTAACCAGCATAATAATAAAGGACTGTTGCTTAAATAGTAGTTCTAAACCTAGAGTAGAAAATGTGCTAATGAAAGTTTCCCCCTAGTAATTACGTTTAATGTTTCAAGTCTCTCATTTTACGAATTATTTTTGATTTTTTATATAGAACTACGTCTCAAATGCTTTCCTTCCCTTACTCATCATGAGCCTCTCTCTCCTCCTTTTAGCAATCTTCCTGAGCTCTTTTCGGGTACCATATGAGGAAATCAAAATGATGATATTGGAAGTGGATGAAACACAGTTGGCAGAGTCTATGATTCAGGTAAACAAACTGGCAGAGAGCTTAAATTCCAATACTTCATTGCAAGCTTCTCATTAAATAGAAATCTGTAAGTGAAGCAAAATTCTTAAACCAAATCATTCAACTGGAAAATCATTGCTGCATAATTAGTTTTAGCATAACTTCTGCTTTGCCAGGAGATAAAACTCTGTATCTTCTCTTAACTGCAAACCAAATATAATGCTATCAAAATGATTACATTTCAATTATTTTAAATGACTCTTTCTGAAAGGCAACTTGTTTAATTTTACATACATGTTTTTGTTTTGGTTACAGTTCAGTTTAGTAATATGTTAATTAAAGTTTATTTGTATAATCCTTTTAGAATATGTTTTTCTTAGACTTTTGTCTTATGAAGTCATATTATGATTTGGTATAGAAGATAGAGGGAGTGTTCTCTTTATTTGAATTTAGCTTTATGAACAACCCTCCCTTGAGTCGTTGGTGTTCCTATGAGTACTAGAAATTGTGGGCATAGTATTCTGAATCCATTCAGGAGGCTACGAGGTTTTTCATAATCGTTTTTACCCACAGTAGTATTTAAGGAACGCTAGTGTGGGGCCAGAGTTACTTGCTGAATTCCACATAAGGCATCAATAATGCATATCTTGATAAAATGTAAAATTGGCGAATCAAACCACAAAATATATAGGGAGAGAATAATCTGTTTACTATCTTTCATTCTTATAATGGATGTACTTGGAAAAAGGATGTTTTTTTAGCAATAAAATGAAACCAGAGATTATTTGTTAGTGTCAGCACATCTTTAAAATTATTTCAGACATTTACATCAGTAGATGGTATCTTTAGCAGCCTTTGACTTGCCCCTCCTACCTTGTCTTCCCAATATGGTTGTGACATAATCCCAGTAGGAGTTTGCCCTTTGAGTCGTTGAGACTCCCAAACAAACGATTCAGTAACTCTTGAAGGTTTCATCCTCTGGCACTTTCTTTTTACTAGTTTTTTGTCTAATTTACTTTAGACTATAAATGGACCTTGTTGTTGGGAATAGACTTCAAGTTCCTTAAAGGAAATTTTTCTACTTAATACATGTTTGTGTTTTTCCTAATGTGTTTGTTGAATATTTACAAAGTAGCTTTTAACTTGATTATATGAATGTGTTGGATGTTCAGGTGGCTCTTGGGTAGAGATGGGGGAAGAATTTGGATTTTTTTAAGTTCATGTCCAAAGATCATCCAGTTCTGTAAAATTTCTTGATATATTAGTTTTCTATTGCTGCTATAACAAATTTACCACAACTTTAGTAGCTGAAAATAACACAAATGTATCAGCCTACATTTCTATTGAACAGAAATCTGGTGTGTGTCTTACTTACCATGCTTAAGTCAAGTCTATGACTAGGCTAGGCTTACATTCTTTTCTACAGGATTTAGAAAAAGATTCTTTTCCTGGCTCCTCATGGCTGCCCACATTCCTTGGCTTGGGACACGTTTCTTTAACTCTGAAGCAATGTTGCCTTTCTCTCTTCTTTCTTTTGTAATCACATCTCCCTCTGGCTCTATTATTCTGTTTCCCTCTTTCACTGGTAAGAACCTTTGTGGTTACATTTGGCAGTTTAGATAATACAGAAAAATTTTCCTATTTTAAGGTCCGCTGATAACAACCTTGATTTCCCTTTGCCATGTAACCTCATATTTCCACAAGTTCTTGGGATTAGGTGTGGACATCTTGGAGGATGTGGTTTAGGTCATCCTGCCTACCACACCTACTAATATAAAACGTGTTTTGGGGATTTAAGATCTAAGACTTAGTTTGAGTATTTATATATTAAAAAATAAGAATTTCATGCTCTTTGAAGTCTGATTTAAAAAATATGATCCTAATTGTAAAGTGAAAAACTGCCGATTTTGAAAAGGGCATAGAGAAAACATTACTCGATATTAATCACCATTTTGGTAAGCTCTGTTCACAATCTTAACTTTCTTCCGTCATTTCTTGTTACTTATTCATATATAACCAGATGTCAGTAATATGTTGTTTGTTGTTGTTGTTTTTTTAGTATGCTGTTTTTGATGTCAGCTCTCTACCTCATTCTTTACCCACATGCCTTCATTTGTCATCTAGTAATTAATTCATTTAGCAAATATTTTATTATACCTACTATGTGCAGGGCATTATGTCAGGCTCAGTTAGACATGGAATTTATAGTTTGGCAAGGGAAATGACATTTGCATAAACATGAAATAAACATGACTGGATCAGGATTAATTGATTTTAAGATGTATAGGCTGTGCTAGGGGAGTGCTGTGCCATGTGTGGAGGCGAGGGTTCTTACATGTGTGCATGTATAGAAGTGAGGGTTCTTCAGGGTTGGATACAGTATGGATGTAGAAAAGGCAGTAGGACCATGTGAGTAATGTAGCAGGTGTCGTTATTCTGGCCCTAATAATTCCCTGTGCTGTGAGGGAAAAGCTGGGGGGGTGGGAGCAACTGCAAAAAGTTTAGTTTGATAGGACCTTAAGATTTGTGAAAGGATGGTAAATTTGATAAAGGGAGAGACCAAGGAAGTCTGGGCCTCTATTCTTACAAATCATAAGAGTTTCATTACAAAGCAAAGCTAATGAAGTGAAAAATTAATAAATTCATGATAAAAGGTTAATTATATGTGAACTACAGATATCTAAGGGGATTTGATGGTCATCTAAAAGGATCCTGAAGAAATTCAGAGGCCTGGTTAGTAAATAGCTTAAATAATCCAGCTGTCAGCTAGAATGGTTGAAGGAAACATTAACCAGGTCTTTGGGCCTCAGGCAATTTTCATAAGAGAAATTTCTATTTGTATGGAAAAATCCTCTATTGCTTTTATTCAGTTGGTAGTTTTAATAGTAAATACTTTTTTAGGGATGATCTTAAATTGTCACTTTTTTTGTTTGTTTTTGGCCAGTCAACCAAGTTTTTTTCCAAAGGTACACAGTGAGTCCAAAACTTGTTCTTTGATCTAACTCCTTTGATATAGAATGTCCTCTAACATTATTTTTAACTAATGACACCTTTTGGGGGGGAGTTTTTCCCCATAAATATATATATATATATAGCATGATGTAGGCTTAATTATAACTTATACTTGACTTGGGTTTGTACAGAGTATACTGATGTTATAATCTGGAGTTGTGAGCACCACCCACTCTTTTTCTTAATTTTAATATCAGGACACTAACTTGCTTATGACACTGTTATAGTCAATTTTATTTTGATACAGAGGATCTGTATAGACTTTGTCTCCAGGATTGTGTAATCATTAAAATTCTAACAGAGAAGATAATTTGTGTGTTTATTTGGCCTTTCTCCACTGGGAGTGTTTCTCTTGTCTAAATGTGTGGCTTGGGAAAGGCCATGGATAAAAGACAAAGGAGCTGAAATAACCCAGAGCCTGTGGTTTCTGGACAGCTGATGATATAGGCAAAAGACCATGGGTACTTAAGTTCCTAAAGGCGCTCCCTATAGGCTTTTTATCTGCAAAGTGTATCATTCTGTGTCTTCAGTGCCTTCCCAAGTTTACCTTCCCATCAGAAAAGTTTGTTTTAGAGATACTTTAATTTTTATTATTAAAACTATAATCATGTTCATTAAATCTTGCAAACAGTTTCGTTAAAATTTCCTGAATTTCATTTCTTTTTCTTGCCTTTTAGTAGCAGTATGATAATTTCTTTTATCCCCTTGAATGAAGCGTTAAAATGTTTGGCTTTGCCTGAAATTTCTGACATTTAATTCCCTAAAGCTGAAATGTAATTGATCACATTTACCCAGGTGAGAAATCTGTTCCTTTGGTGTAGGTTGAGTTTTTCTTTCTCAGTTTTATGGTTAATCAAATAAACATTCAGTAGCACTTGATTTGAATATATAACTCTGGAGAGAGAAGAGGAAAATTGACTGCTTTCAGGATGCAGAGAATGTAGTATAAGGCTGAGTACAAGGCTGAGGTTACCTAGAACCAAAAGGAAAGGTTGACTTTTTCAGTGGTTTCTTTCCCATAGTTGATTAATAAGTCTTTCTAGAATTCAAAAGCACATTTGGTGAAGATATTTTCTTGTGGTTTTAATTTTTAGAACCTAATAAAACATCTTCCTGATCAAGAACAGTTAAGTTCATTGTCTCAGTTCAAGAATGACTATAACAACTTATGTGAACCCGAGCAGTTTGCTGTTGTGGTAAGTACCGTCCATCTCTCAGCGTTTGCTCTTCTGGGTGGGGGTTTTATACTGTGCCACACCGGAAAGGAAAGGTCAGGCCTTTTCCCATCAGGATTGTTTCATAAACCTTCAGTGTCCATCTTGCCTTTTTTTAATCTCAGGATATTTATGAAAAATTATCTTGATTTCGAATATATATATTGAAACTGTAGCCTTAAGGGAAATCCAAGGAGTTTTTTAGAAGCATGAGCATGATTGTGTGTGTGTGTGTGTGTGTGTGCGTGTGTGCGTGTGTGCGTGCTCTCTTTCATGTCAGAATGTAAGGTGAAAACTGCACTCCTATGGCAGAAGGGTATATTTATGTTTTATTCTGAAGCTGTGTATTCCAACATATTGCAAGAATAGCTTCAGTTTCTTGTTCTGTCGTTCACCTCCATTCATCTCCTATTTTGGACTCGAATTAGAAATACAGTCTCTTTCTTGGCAATGAAGATGAGAAATGAATACCTTTTTAAGAAAAAATCTTTGAGACCCCTTGATAATCATCTCCCTCCAGCCTCCTATTTTATAGAAGTTGGGGTCCAAAGAGGTGAAAATACTTGCCAATGTTATATATTAGCTGAGTTGCAACTTAAAATTAAGATTTTATCAAGCTTTCTTCTGTTCTTTTTTCCTACTATTATCATTTTGAGGTTGGTTACGTTTAGTCATCATGACAATACTTTAGTGTTTCATTTCTTTTTAATTTTTTTAAAGATTTTACTTATTTGAGAGAGAATAAGAGAGAGAGGGAGAGAGAGAGAAACAAGCAGGGGGAGGGGCAGAGAGAGAGGGAGAAAGAGACTCTTCACTGAGCACAGAGCCTGACACAGGGCTCGATCCTTGGGATCATAACCTGAGCCAAAGGCAGATGCTTAACCAACTGAGCCACCCAGGTGCTCCCATTTCTTTTTTATATGTAAGATTCTTTATTTCCCTTTTATCTTCAGTTCTATTACCAACCTCCAGGGATATGATAGAATTGTATTTGATATAATTTTGAAAATTTGGGTTGACAAACTAAAGGACTGTCTGCATACCATATTTTGCATGTTGTAGGCATTTGTTCTTGAACTATTTCCTGTCCCTTCATAAACCCATTCTCCTCACCCCTCTCCACAGCACTTCTCCTCACCCCTCTCCACAGCACTTGTCCCCTTCCTGAATTCACAAAACTCTGATTAGAACACAGAAAGGGGAAAATAAAGGGTTTTCCCCTATTCATTGTCTTAAAATTTTGATTATAAAGTTTTTTTAACTTATTTACAAAAATGTTTTTCTTTTTTCTTACCCAGTTCTCTAGAGTACCATTTTATCTTCTCTTTTTCTCTTTCTTCTGTATTTCCTTCTTTGCTTTATATTCTATTACCTGATCACATTGTCTTTCTTTCGATCCCTATTTGATCCCTGTCTTCCATTGGGAATAAGTGAGTAAGGGAGAATTTGCATTAAGTTTTTAACCACAGACTTTTTTGCCCATCTCTTTTGACTCTTGAATGAAGATTACAAAATGTAAAATTACAGTTTTAAAGTATTTCCCATTCACATTAAATCTGAAACACACACAAGCTTATGTGAAAATGCATATTTAGCAAGTAACATTTTACACTGAGCATCATCACAGAGAAAATGTAAAATTCTTGCCATGTTTTAGTGATTTTCACAGAAGAATGAGCTCAAACTTGCAGTTATTTTAGGTGTATTTAAAATAGCCAGATTATGCCCTTCTTTGAAAATCTGGAGTTCACTTCAAAGAGCCATGATTTACAAGCAGTATTATCATAGTGCTAGAGGTTATAGTTTTGATTTTTAGACAGAGATGGACCACTTCCATTTCGAGACATCTCGACTCAAAGTTGACCTTGAATCTATACATGCTATGCTGGGTCGTACCTGATTGCAAATGAAATTTAATGTAGAAAGAGTAGTTCTATTGAAAAACATTGGCTATAAATAATATGATCAGTGCTTTATTATATGTTGATAGTGAATATTCTTGAAGACATTTTTGTAAGTTCTAGTTTGTGTGGTACTAAAATTTTAAGACATAATTGCTTTCATGAAGAAAGGAAAAAGAAATTTGAGGGGGGAAATACAGTGTGTGTGTGTGTGTGTGTGTGTGTGTATTTGTATTTATTTATTTATTTTGTCAAACAGTAATGTTCTTCAACTTTACCTTCTTCCATTGCAACTTGTCATCACTGCCAATCTCCCTCTACTTCTCAGACACCTCTCCCCCTCACCAAAAAAAGAGGGGGAAACCTGCTTAAAGTTCTAAACAGTACTTGAGAATTACCAAAAAATATGATGGCCAAAAATTATAGAACACTGTGGAATGCCTGGAGTTTTTGGTACTTTCTGAATTAAAAGCTCAATATTGTTTCTTTAAAGAGTAGTATTTTTTTCAATTTATCAGGGTAATATAAGTAACATGATTTGGTGGTTTTAGGGAACTGGTTATAATAATCATGTATATTTCTTTGATTCCGATTATATTGTTTCACTTTTAAAGTAATAAATTTAATTATGTTTTTATCAAAGATGGTCTATTACTTTGGGGTAACTGCAGATTCCTACATGACTTTGATCTTGTAGAAGAATATTTACTCACTGACTAAACTTAGATTTAAAGTACTAATTATTTTTACCTAAAAACCATCAATGTTTCACAGATAAGGAATAGGCAAGGGTTAGGATAGCCTTTGCACCCCCCCAAAAGGCCCACACTTGCCTTTTCATTTTCACCCAAGAGAGACTTACTTTTAACTCTGTGTCGTATTCAGGTTCTATAACCTGATAGTGATTTCTATATTGTTTTCATTTTAACAAAAATCGTTAAGGGTAGCTCAGCCAGTTTGTTGTCCCAACTCTTGGTTAGGATCTCAGGGACGTGAGATCATGCCCCACGTCAGGTTCCACATTGGGCGTGGAGCCTGCTTAAGATTCTCTTTTCCCTCCCCCCTTCCTCTTGCTCTCTCGCTCTCCAACTCTAACTTAAAAAAAGTCAGTTATAACTCTACAATTATATTATTTGCCAGTTTAAATTTTTCTTTCATCAACTAATATGAATGTACTGATTTGATTCATGTGAATTACATACAGATTTCTTGGAAAGGTGTGTTCCATTTCAACCAGCATCAAAATTTGATAGAATAAAATCACTATAGTTGTTTGTGTTTTATAATTGATCTTAATTCCACTAAAGAATTACATAAAACAATAAAAAGCAGCTCCAGCAGGACATTGGCATTTGTTTATTTTCTCTTTGATAGAAAGGCAATGTGCAAAAGTAAACATCCAAAAATGCTAGTAACCAATGTCAATTGAAGACCAATTCGAATATATAAGATATAACATGTAAGTTAGAAATATGCTTTAACTTTTGTCATGTATTACTTAGATACAACTTTTTAGGACTCTGTGTCCTGTTATAGGGTGTGGTATCCAAATAGGCTATTGAGAAATACAAATAGTCATGAAATTTTATGTTCCTGAAGCTTTCTTTTTAAAATATGTGTCCTGTGTCCTGTTATAGAGTGTGGTATACAAATAGGCTATTGAGAAATACAAATAGTCATGAAATTTTATGTTCCTGAAGCTTTCTTTTTAAAATAT